GCAGGAAATTATCATTTATCATACCTCCAATATCACACTACCTTGACCTAAGCTTTCACCACCTCTTCTCTAATCAGTCTTTCTTCTGTTCTTGATCCCCTTGCACTCTCTTCTCCACAAAGCACTCAGATCGATCCTTGCCAAACAAATCAGATTGGATCACTTCTCTCTTTAAACTCTCCATTGCCTTCTTTCTGACTCCTTACAATGTCCTCTCACCATGAGCTGGACAGTCCTACATGACCTTCCCGCCCTCCAACACACCTTCTTACTTATCTGACCCTGGTTCTTATTATTCATCCCCACTCATTCATGCTACTCTAGCCACAAGGACTGTTTTTTGATTCCTAGCAAAATGGTCTCAAAAAGGTACCACCTCAGGACCTCTTTGCTTGCTGTTCTCTATGCCCAGAAAGCTCTCCCTCCAAATAAGTGGTTTTCTCATCTCTTACAAGTCTTTGCTAACAGTCAAGTCTCCCCTGATCACTATCCTCCAACAGTCTCTATTCACCTATAGGTGAATACCTATAGATAGATGTTTCATTGTTCTCTTTTACTTTGTATTTCTCCAAAGAATGCAATGCCATATGACATTATATATATATATGTATGTGTGTGTGTGGAAAGAGAGAGAGAATGCATGCTTATATTTTACTTATTTATTATCTCTAATGGGATGTAAGCTCCTTGAGGACAGAAATTTCCAATAAAAATAAATACAAGTATTTTATTCACTGCTATGTCCTCAGTGCTTAGAACAATGCCTGGCAAGTGAGACACACAAACATTTGTTGAATAACAATTACATAAATACTTATGATATGTCAATCTTACAGCAAGTACTGGGGCAACAGCATTACAGCAGTGTGTCTAGACTTAATTTTAAAAAACCCTCTAAATGAGAACAGTTGTGAAAAAACACAATTGTGTAGCCATTAGAGGTAGCTGGAATAGCTGTACTGACTACTGTATTTACCAGCATCATTAAACTTAAAGAATCCAGAGTTCATGGATTATTTAAGTTCCACTGAAGAATAGTAGTATGCAAACACACCTCCCTTACAGATTATTCCTTCAAGTTCTCCTGTCTCTACCTTTAGATTTATTTTTCTTCACTCACTCTTTTCCCCTCTATTCTCTTGGTGCCCAATTCCATTCCCTCCTGCTCTCTGGCTCCAGTTCTCTACTTCACCTATCATATTCCCTGAGTGCTACACTACTTCAAACACTCCAGCCGGATTTTCACCTCTCGTTACAAATTCACATTTTCTTGATCCCTTAAAATTCTCAAATTCCAGTTTTTTTCTTCCTTTCTTCCTTCATTAACAATTTACCAAAAAATGTGTTCATCTTCATTGCATCTACTTCCTGATCAACACTGTTCAAAGAAGTGGTTCTTAACCAGGGTGTACATGAAAATCTGGAATTTTTTCATGCCCAGTTTCCACATTCTGCAATTTTGATTTGATGGGTTTACCTTGGAGGGAAGGGCACTAAATCTAAGAACGTTGGTGAAAACAGCTCCCTAAGCGAGCCTAATGCATAACTCAGATTAAGAACCATTACCTTAAATACCTGCCATGTTTTTTTCAGGTCATAATAATGATAATGTCCCACCAACTGAGAAGTATAATGAAATCAACCTTCTGCACCTGACATACCAAAAACAAAAAGGCTCCTGGTCACCAAATCCAACTGTGTTCTCTTAGTCCTATCCTTTCCAAACTTTAAATGGTATCTGATACCACCAGCTTTAAGCACACTCCTCTCTTCAATATCTTTTTGGTCTTTTGGGCTCCTTTCCCTTCCTCCCTGCCAACTTGTCTTAATGCCACCTACTACATCAGTGCCACTCAATGTCATCCGAGGGTGAGCAGCATCACTATCGTTTGGAAACTTGTAAGAAATGAAAATTCTCAGGCCCTATCCCAGACATCAGAAACTCTGGGGGTGGAGCCCAGAAAACTATGCATTCTTGTGATTACTGTGCCTGCTCATGTTTGAGAACCACTGTGCTGAGCCATCTATTTTAGATACATGGGAGGAATCTACAACCACAGGACTGAAGCTCGAACAGAGTAGATGTCAATACATACATATTTTGAAGTTAATTGCTACTGAAATAAGAGCTCTCATAAGAAATGGCAATTACAAATAACAATACTACCATTTTTAGGCAATTAGTATGTGCTAGATATTATGATAGGTTGTTAATGTACCTGGTCTCACTTATCAGGTATTATACTTGTTTTTACAGATGAAGACACTGACACTTAGACAAAGATGTTTAACACCTTGCCTCCAAATTTCACACCCTTGACCACTGTATTATTGTCTCCTGCATACAGGAGGAAAGAAAGGGAGTCTTGGACAGAACCCTAAGAAAATGACTCAACAGAAGTGATTGATGTTATCTGGCTAAAGTGTTAGAGGAAAAAAAAAAAACAGAAGTGCAGGGAGAAAGTCCAGGTGAGAAAAGTTTTAAGTAGGAAGCCTTAATTACAGTCGCTGGGAATTTTTTTTTTCCAGTGCGTCTACAGGCAACAGAGGATGCAGAACTTTTTTTTCAAGTAAGTTTTATGGATGCTACTCATTCTCTCTGAGTCCCAAGTTTTATTCACAAAACCCAGGCACTAATGTGCAATGTTTGGGTTGGACGGGGGGTTCAATGGTTAATATTATATAAAAAAAATGAGATGAAAAAGAGCTTTCACATTTAGGTGGAGAGGGGATAAATTAAGAAACTTAAAAGTTTACTAATAGAGGGTTGCCAGGATAGGTTTTCTGCTTTGCAGGCACAGAAAGCTGGAGTAACCAAGTAACCAATTCTGACTCATTTTAAAATTACAGTATCAATTCTATTCACTTATAAATTAATTATTTGCTCATGACATTCCCTCCAATGGGTAAATCCATTTACCAGGCGAAAGTTAGGTGTTGGGGTGACAAACCTGAGTTGGTAAGGAGCAAGAGAAGATAATGCCTGTTACCAGCCAGAGGTGACTCGAAGGCAAGTGATGCTGGTAAAGACACCTGGCTGGCCAAAATAGTCAGGTGAAGCCTATTGAGGCTTAATATGAAGAGACTCACTAGCCAAATACTCAAATCACCTTGTGATCTAGGAAGAATACAATCAATTAGGTCTAACTGATCTAATAGGTTACAACTTCTTTAGTTAAACTAGTTTTCAGAAGACACCATCTGGCCAGCTTGATCCAGTTACAAATTCCTAAACTCCAGCAGCACCCTATTCGTCTCTTTCTACAAATGATTAATCTTCACTTCATGTTGACTTTTCACTAGTTTCAGTATCAGAAGTTGACCTTTAAAAAATTTTTTGGCCTTATTCGGATGCCTATTTTGCCTTTATCTGCAAAGATTTTGCACCTCTTTTAGAAGGATAAACCACAGATTACTACACAGGGACATATTTCCATACTTATTTCTTATCCACATCCCAAATAATGTTCAAATAGTAAACATAATTTCAGCACTCTGAATTCCTTCTATTGTCCCATGAACTTTATGTGATACAAATTACTATCTTTCTAACAGCATTTATTAACTGTAAGTGCATTTATTAGTCACTTAGTACATGCCCAGCAGCCCCAAGCATTGGGGTTACACAGAAAACTCAAGTTCTGGTACCAAGAAGGAAATAAGGTCATTTGGTACCAGTTTAACACAAAAGGGGGTGATTAATTCATTCGGAGGGATTTGGCAAGTTTTTCCATGGGGTGAATTGGGCTGAGTCTGGAAGGATGAATAAGAGTTCATTAGGCACTGGAAAAGGGGGGGAAAATCCCTTACACCTCTCTCCCCAAATTTGGTTAATATTAGTGGCATTTAACTTAAAGTAACAGTAAAAGAAAGAGTAAAATGACAATAACAGAAGAAATCCTGATCACTTCATTTTTGGGGGGTTGGAGAGGGGACTGTGCCTTTAAACACACTTTAGATCTGAAAGTAAATGTTTATAAAGCAGGATTCATAATCAAGGGAAAGGGGTGGAGGAGGAAGAAGTTGTTTTGTTGTATTAAGTTAAACAAATGAGTAAAAATATCAACTCTATGCTTGAGAACACATATACTACATTTCATAAGGACCCTAAGTTTGAAAATGAAAATCTTGGAACCTTATCTAAAATTACAGTATTTTCCCTGTTGTTTTATATCTCCAATATCACTTTTAAGGTTCCTAAGGTGAATCTGCCGAAGAAATTGGCGGCATCTACACGCACCCAATAATCCACTGTTGATTGAAACCATCAACTGCACCCTAATCAACTTTCCAGTTACCCTGACCTTAGCACCTTCACATCCTTCAAAGTTTGTCTTAATTTCTACTATGACTATCTCAAGGCATTAATTTAGCTCTAAGTTTTGACACTCCAACTCTTCATCCTTCCCATTATTTCCTCTTAAATTCCATTAGTTTCGCCTTTCTCCTGAAGGAACACTTAGAAAATACATCAAGAGCACAATTACAAAACCAATGGCTGCAGCCAGTCGGAACACACACACTAATTTCCACTCATACTCCTCTCGAGGCTGTTTGTACCTCTGATCAAAATCAGCGGACCAGGGAGGAGGAAAAAGCTGAGGCAGGAAGGTTGTTCCCCTCCTTCCAACTCCCCCATGCCTGCCCCGCTTCGCTCCCCGGTTCCCCAGGGCCGCACCGCGAACTCGTGAGCTCCCCTCCACCGACCTGCCCCCGCTGTCACCCGCCACTGCCTAGAAAACAGTCATAGCCTTTGTTAAAACGTCCACGAGCACAATGTACCAGAAGACGGACACATTCCCGGGGGCGGGGTGAAGAAAGTCACACGAACGCCACGCCCTCCTTGGCACTAGCTTGGGGCGACAGCCCACCTCCCCTACATTCCCTCCTCCCGAGACGAGGAACGTTCCTGGCAACTCTTCACTTCAAGACGGCAGCGTGGGGGAAGGGGTGGGCCCGGGACGCACGCCGCCCAGGGGCACCAAGCGGGGATACTTAACTTGAAGCTGGGACACCCTCCAGCGCCCTTGGCGAGTCTCCCGGTCCTGCCAAGTCTGAGTCCGGACTTTCAGCCTCTGGAGCCCTTTCCTTCAATCTCTCTCTTCACACACACCCTCGCCCGCTCCCGCCACACGCACTCTGCTGCCCACGCGGCCGGGGCCGGACACCCTCCGGCAATGCGGCCAACCCCGCTACCGTATGTCTGGCAGGTTTCTCCTTACAGGACCGAAGGTTCCCCGGGCAGTCACCCGCACACTCCCCTATCCCTCCCGGGACGCTCGGCCGGAACCACGCTCGCCGGCTGCGAGCTCCGCGCAGCCACAACACTCACCGCGCGCCCCGCGCCGCTACTCCGCTCTCCGCCAGCCGCCAACCGCGCCTGCGCACTCCCACTGCCGCGGAGCTCGGTAGGAGCCTGGAGC